TTATAATATATATAAATATGAAAATATACATATTGCATATATACCTTTACTAAGGTATTTATTTCTGAAGCAGTTTTCTCATATTAAGTTCTCATTTTTCCTGTACTTACTGTGCCAATATTTGAAAGAGTGAATGTTCCCCCAGTGAGGTCATTTGTTCCCAGTTGGCCTGCAGAGCCCAAGGACTGCAGGCGATTTAATTCAGAAGCAATCTCAAACACACTACAGACTTGAACATTTTTCACATTTGGGACAATTAAACCTTGCTCCGTGTCCATAGCAACTCCAATGTTGTGCGAAGCCTGCAACAAGTTTCATTAACATAAGCTGTCAACATAAAATGTATTTTACATTAAAAAAAACATGTGAATAAAGTCTTCTTTATGTATCTTTTTTAACCTAGAAAGTGCTGTCTGTAGTAAGCAACTCCTCTATACAACTTTGAGGGGGGAAGAGGATGTAAATTTTAAAATATTAGCTTTCCACATCTGCAAAGTGCAAATTGATTTTGGCAGTTTCACATCCAGGAAATACAAGACTGGAATCAATTTTGCACTAAAAATATTTCACTTTAGGATGATTATATGGTTAACAAAACATGACTAGCAGATTTTAAAGAGAACACTAAAATAAAAAAAGAAGGAAACTGAGTTGCCTTGCATTTGCTAGAAGGAACATATAAGGATTCATCTGAAAGATATTGATAGAACAGCACAAAAGGAGTTTGTACTACACGGAGTATGTACATATCACTTAAGAAAATAAGACACTCACTGCCCAGAAGTATCAATCCAGCACCTTGTATGAAAATTAAGTAATCTTTATCAAAACTGAGTTTAAAATATGACTTTTATACATAAGGGTTGAGTGTTGGAACAGTGGAACCACTATGCCATTACTAAAAAATTACAGTATTAGATTTTAAATATTCTCATTTTAAATGCTTAGCCCATCTTCAGGTAGAAAGTAGGAAATCACTATATGTGTTTTTGAGGGAAGCCTGAATAACAAAGTGACTCTCATTAAATAAACTACTGAAATAAGATGAATAATAAATCAAATCCAATCTTAGGATCTGGACACACAAATTATTTTCCAGCACCACATCATAATTTTCGTTCTTAGAATTAGCTCAGACATTCTGAAAAGCCCTTGTTAGCTTTATTTTAGGTTTTCTGCTCACAACTTTCATCAGTAGCTTACAAACCTTATATGTGACATTTTGACAGCTTTCATCCAAAGAAGCATTAAGAATGGGATACTGCAATAATCCCAGAGAGGCTGCCTATTAAACAAAAAAATAAATAAAAAAAGAGATAGATTTTTATGTTTTATAACCCGAGAACTGCACGGAAAGGAAGGAACAGTGGGAGACAATTTAGGTTAGTAACAATATAGATTTCCTCAATGCAATCAAATTTGGCTTAAACTCTCCTAAACTTGTCTGTTGTTATTCTATCATTATTAGGATACGACAGCTTACAAAAACCAAATATACATCAGACAAACACATAAAAAGTGATAATCCCTTTCCTAAGTATAACTGAAATTGAATCTGCATTTGTTATTTCTGTTCCACAATTCAAATTGAGTATCCCAAGACAAAAGTTATGAGATTCAGCAGCAACGTCATTCTCAGCTCTCCACTTAGATGACAATTATTTCAAGGAAGAAATACTAATTCCCCCTAAAGAGAGTGAGCAGAATGAGTGCTTACTTAGCACTCTTACTGAAATAGCATTACCAGAAGTTTCAGACCAAGCTATGCATTCAATGCGTAGCTTAGGTAGTGCATCAGCCTTCACTGATGCCAACAGTTGGAAACAGAACCATGGCAACTAAATGACTGCAAGTGCCTGGTCTTCTGAACAACAGAAGAGACATACTCATTCACCTGAACAACAGAAGAGGCATGCAGATTCACCCAAGGGATTCATTACCAATAAAAATATAATAACAATAATGACTCATTTCACATAGGGTTCATTTTAATGGAGCTCATAAAAAATACTGACAAATTTCCAAAATTTGTTTTTTGTAATTCAAACACACAGTGATGCTTACCCCTGTAATGAATAATGCTTTACCTGCTCTATCCTTCCCCATTAATATTTCAAAAAATGTCCATGATATTACGTAACCCCAACTACAATTCCAACAATAAATTCGTAAGTGGTTCAATAAACAAGAGAAGTTAAGACTTCTCTTGTGATCTGTAATCATTCAGATGATAGCAAGGTGCTCCAAACTTAAAACAATCACTGATCAGACTTTGCCAAAATCTGCGTAAGTACTCTATACAGCACTCTGCTGCACATCTTACCTTTATGAAGAAAGGCATAAAGGAAAGTTTAACTCCACGAATTTGTGCTAGAGGTTTTAGCTCTTCTCGCAATTGAACAAGCTGAGTCAAATCAATCTCATCACAATAACCGAAGTGGGGTATCTTCAGGGCTGCACTCATAGTCTTTACCATTGCCTTGTGAAAACCTGAAAAATATTCACTGACTTCTTAAACCAACAAAATGAGCTTCGGGGAAATTATGGTGACATTTCAATTTCTATTTGTTTCCATTAAACAAATTACACAATATGAAAAAAAACAAGCACAAAAAAAAAAAAAGACAGGATAAAGCTCACTTTAGGATCAACAGTTACTCAGCACATGCAACTCAATTTTTACAATTGTGATTTTTCAGATTATATTACTGCATCTCTCCCCTATCTATGTATGTATGTATTTGAAATAATAATACAGTAATCTGCACTACTCTTTCCAGCCTCTCCAAATAAACATTGCCTGAAAGGCAAGCCAAAACCTTTTATCTTCCTCTTTTAATGTGATTTTTCTTACCTTAGTGTCTTTTGTTGTACTTCAGCATTCACCCATGTTCTGGAGTGCGCTATTATTAAGCACTGATAAACCTTAAATTCACTGCATTTTGGCACTAATTGCATAATGAGTCATGCTGTGACAAATTCACATGTGTTTCAGAATTCCTACCTGTTTCAGCATATATTTGAAGAAACACAGATTAAAAATGAACAAGTGCAACTTGCAGCCCAACTCCATCCAACCAAAACATGAACAATTATTTCATAAAATAATCATTTCATACAACACTTTCTTACAGAGCATGTTTTCCTATTGCTCACTTGCATGACAATAACACTCCCAACAAAAGAAATCAACTGTTCACCGAGTAACATTTACTGGTAGTCTACTGTGAACATGGTCTCAAGATTTTATATTTCATGATTTACCTGTTATAGGTTCAGTTTTATCTTTTCCTGAAAACACAATGGGTCTAGAAACAGGTACAGGAATTTTGCGTGCTTTGTCCTTTGGAGCAGCTGGCACAGTCTCTGATTTTGGCAAAGGCGGGATAATTTCAGACTTCGGTGATGGAGGTAAAATAGCTCCTGTTTGTTTGGCCAAGTAATTGAGTATGTCTTCTTTAAGGATTCTGTTATCTTTTCCTGTTCCAACAACTTCACTCAATTTAATCTGAAAAGTACATAACAAGCTATGACACTTTCATTTTACAGCAATATAAAAATATCCTATATTGTAAGCTACAGTTAAAAATTATTCCAGTTACTGATCTATAAAACAGTTTTCTTTCCCTTTTATATGACTTATTAGGTACTTGACATTGTTCAAATCATCCAAAAGGCCCACTATGTATCTAACTGCATACTTTAAGGAGGAACTATGAATACTACTTACCACTTAATTACCTCACAGGATCAATAGTGAAATATTTATTTGAGGAAAGCTATTTGTCACTTAATTTCCTCTGCTTAATGATTTATTTTTCTCCTAAAAATGCACCACAAGCTTTCAAAAACCAATTCCTCTAGACCAATGTTCTCCTAGTCAGTCAAACTGCTATATAAAAGGTGGATAAAATGCAGCAGGACCTGATTCAGCAAACTTACATTGTTCTCCATGGCCAGACGACGAACTGCAGGGGTTGCTAATGTTTTGTGACCTTTTATCTCTTGGTGAGTGTGCTCTTCATGAGACATAGGAGGTGTTTCAACAACATCTTCTTCTGGGGCAACACCTGCAAACAAAAAGAAAAATTTTAACTTTACTACATTATAAGCATTTGTTAAATTCCAACCTCAACCATTCCGTGATTCTGTGACAACTGAAGTTTTTAACATTTAGTGTGAGCTACTGTGGATGGGAACATAGCATGCTCAAGGCTGCTGCTTAAGCTAAATTTTCAACAGGAAATGTCTGGCTTTTTAGATTTTAAACCTAATAAAATATCACAGCTTTTTCCACTTAATTTTCTTGACTTTATAAGGGAAAAAAAATAATTCAGTTTCGAGATTTGCAGGAGGAAAAAGTAAACTCCTCTGTCACTGATGGTTTTATGGCAACAAACATAAAATATGCAAGAGAAAAAAAATGGCTTACAATACCTTTTGAAGCATCGATTTCAATGTCCACTAAAGGTTTTCCAACATAAGCAATATCATCTAAATTGTAATGGAGTTTTCTAATGATGCCATCATAACGACTAGTAATAGTAACGGAAGCTTTATCGCTTTGTACTTCACAGATGCTATCAAACTGAGACACGCTATCACCTTCTTTTATATACCTAAGAGAAAAGACACAGGCTAGTATAAAACATACACAGTGTAAAAATCTATGCTGTGTATTCTTTTGATAAGTTCAAGTTATGTACATCCCCACAACATGAAAACGCATTCCAGATAGGCAAATTCTACATAATGGATACATTTGCTACATACCCTTTTGCCAGACTGCTCCAGAACCCTTTGTTGTGTGAAATGACACAATGATTTAAAGTATCATCACACATACATTTTGACCATTATTTTAGTAAAGCAGAGTTTTCTTGACAGATTATAAGCCATCTAAAAATAAAAATAAGCCCAGCTTAGTCTGAACCTAGGAAGTTCTTAGTTTCAAATTGCCAGCCTCAATATATGATCAGTTTCAGAAAAGAAACTGAAAGTGGGAAACACTGTCCTCTATGCAGAGAGGCGTATTTTCACCTATTTGTCAAAGAACTAGGCATTTCAACATGGCCTTCCTTCACTATACACTTTGATTTTGCTTAATCCATTCATCATTGGCTTTTTACAAACAATTTAAATGTTCAAATCTTCTACTAAAGTCAATAGAGAAGAGTATAGGGTAAAATTACGTGGATTCTCCAGACTAGTCATTTGTTTCTAAAGTTCAGCCTAAGGAAGTATACTAAAAGGCAGACCTCCTAGACTCTAAAAACATTAATCACTGAAGGAAAGCTCATATACACGTGCAGTTAGGGCATCCCATTCCTTCCATCTTTTCCACTCCCAAATAAACCAGATTGCAAATACATAAAATGTAAAGCTAAGTATATACAAGGCTTTAAAATGTCGAAGATGAAACTTGAAAAACTTCACTACTAACCCAGAAAACATATTCTCTGATAAATAATTGATAATACAGCTGTTCAACTACTTGCTGATTTCTTAGTATATTTCTGAGAAAGTAGAGCTTACCATTCTTTTACAGTCACCTCCGTAATCCCTTCTCCAATATCAGAAAGCTTAAACTGGACAATTTGGCCACATGAAACTTAAAACACACAATAAGGAAATACAGCATGTTTAATATTAAATACCAGGTATCAGACAGAAAAATCTGAATGCATCAGAAATAGTCTACATACCAGTCATATACAAACCGCTAACATAACACTCATAAAATAGCAAAATAAAATAAATTATTTTATTATGAAAAAGATTACCAGCAGATGTTCTGAATAATCGCTGTTGATGACTAAACTTGAGGGCAGATTTGTCAAACACGCACACATATTTTGATTTTATAAAGCGAATGCTGCTGCACGATCTAACACGGTGAATGCAAACCTGGGGGAGAAAAGTCTCAAGTGTTAATATAATGGACTGAGGAATGTAGAGCTCATTTAATATGCCTGATGCAACAGTAATACTAAAATAGTTTAATTCTAATTTATATAAGAGAAGTTCTTATGGAAACACAATTATACTGAATACATACTGAATGTACAATAACCATTAAATTAGCATAAGCTTTGTCAGATCTTTAACTTCTTTCACTAACACAACACATGGGGACATCAAAGCCACAGTAACATAACCACTTAACAAAAATCACGACAAAATCTGATAAGAGATTCACACTTGCTATTGTTTCTCTAAACAATTAGTTTAATCAGGACACACACACAAAAAGCATACATAATATCAACTACATCAGCCATATGATACATTCTTATCTAGAATGAATGTTGGAAGAATCCCCTAGACTGCAGGAAAAATCAGCATATTTTTCTTTGTCAGTTCTTATTCCAATCAAAGGTTGATCAGAAGTACTAATTGGAAAGGAAATTCACACCAGAGGGTACAGACAGTTGCCCTTTTATTTCTGTTAAGATATAGGAGGCAATCATCTTCAAGTAAATATCATTTCACATCAACTTTAATGACATTTTTTAAGAACTGGGCTTGAGATTTTTTTTTTTTTTCATGGTTACAATTATATTTATCCAGAAATCAACTTAAAGGGTCAACGGAATTTTCTGAAAGGTTTTTCAGACAAAACCTTATGCTGTAAAGCGTCATGTAATCAGTCATGATTTTGGTCAAAAGCAAAGCCAGTAGCACTTGCATTGACATAAACAGGCATTTTATCATTAATCTCAACAGAAGTTAGTTCAGATCCCTTCTTATTTAGTAAGATTTCTTAAATCTAATGTAACTCTGGTGTTATGTTGTCTTAGAGTGCTGTAAAATTAATAAAAATAACAATTTATCTGTATATACTATCTCTAATTAATTTAGAGATATGAAAAAAATTCAGGTGCTACAATGTACCTCAAGTAGCTCAAAACTGTAAAATTTAGAAATTATCTTCTTAGAGGACCCAGACAACAGCACACCTGCATGGGAAAGTTCATTTTAACTTCTTTTTAAAAAAATCCTTTCAGTAATCACAGAGCATATGAAACTTCCTGATTGCCCTCCCCACCCCCCAAACTGTTCAACTATTTGATTTTATATTACACTTTTAAAAAGCAGATTATTCAAAAAACTGTACAATTATGAACTGATGATGTACACATTTTCTGTATCATTTAATCTATTGTTGCAAGTTACATTAAGTATCACCTTTCTTTTAGGAACAAATATTTATACAATACAATCTACCATAAAGGACACAAAAACTGAGTTACTTTTCAGCTGCCTGCTACTAAGATTGTATCTACTGATCTAGTGTAAGTATTTTTCTAATTCCTATAATGAGCGAACAGCAAGTCCTTTCATTAGTCCTCCAAATAATTTTCTCCATTAAAAAATCAGGTAAAATGGTAATTTTAAGCTATGACAAATCTTATTTCATGAACACACTAAAAATTCTCATTCCATTACAAAACTGGTATATAATGTACATCTTCACAAGCCTATTTTCTCCTACTTTTAATATTATTTTTCTTCCCTAGTGTCCTAACATATTAAAGCAATAATAAAGTACCCAATCTCTCTATAGAACGGTGTTCCTTTCTAAACCCTTGAAATAAAGAGGCTGTGCTTACTAATTTCCATATTTAATCACCATAATACTACTTTATGTGTAACGCTAAATAAGGAAATAACAAAAGCATACGATAGACAAAATTAGTTCTAATATCCATAGCATACCCATCTGTGTACCTCAATGTCTAGAAGAATATAGTAATAAAAACCCAACAAGCACAGTACTACTAGCAGTTATATATTATGTCACCACTATTATACTATATGACAATAAGCAATAATGCCACAGTAAGGTAACACCTTTTCTGTGTAAGTCTTCAAAATGTGGCATTACTGTGGCGAGAAGAAACCAAGGGCCCACTCCAGTCTCTAATACTGAGGACCCATCAGCCACTGATACTTGGTTGACTAAGACTTGTCGTTTGAACCAAGACAACATGGGAGCTGTATGCTGTCTGGGGAGAAAACTACCTTGCCCCTGCTTAGTTCAGTTTTGGTTGTTTCCTTATAAAGAAGCCAACTGTGCTTTTCTAAATCACCACTAATCCTAAAAATTTACTGCTGGCCTCAAAACAAAATGTTCTTATGCGGCCTGCAGGCAACCGATTACCTGATGAAGTAACACCGAGTTTCAAAGTCAAATTGAATAGTTTGTGCTCAAAGGCAATGACTTCTCATTACATTACAACATACTCCACTACAAAACTCTTTTGATTTGCTGTCCCATTGAGTCATTTTAATGAACATTTACCTACATTGGATTTTTTTTGCATACATATTCCATATCTCCATGTATACAGTTGCCTATATACTAAACCAATGTAGCGTGTTTCAGTCAGACATTATTCCTCACCTAAGTAAGTGGCACCATGTCCTAGCGTCTAGGTAACTTATTTCCCTACTACTTAACACAAAGACCCCCAGGCTCCTTTCTTTTCTTCTTCACAACTTACAGCCCCCATGCACAACCACCATTACTTTGTCCTTCTTCCTCTTGCTAGCCAAAGTGTTTGCAAAAGCATTGAGATAACGTCCTTTAATATTATAACCACCATATTATTTCTTGGATCTTATCACTGTTTCACAGTAGATGGTCACAAGAAGAATTACTATCTAGCAAAATTCAAAATGTGCTTGCAGGAAACACATGCTATAAATAGCCATGCACATAGATAAGATGAGCATTTTCACCTTACCAGAATCTCCCTCTGGATTTAAGAGTTGATGGTTTAGTTAGAAAGAAAACTAAAAAGAAGCTGCTATTTTCAATATTCTTAATTAGTAAAATTACTTATATGTAGCCTAAAACTAGATAGTTACCAAAGTATCACTGAAAAAGTCCTCACTACCATGCTTTCAAAATACAATATGAATTATTATTAAGAGCAAAATAATAATAGAAACTAGAACTGATCCTTAATTTTGTTTTCACTTGGATTATCTTACAAAAAGATGTTTCTTTTTCTGACATTCCACAAAACAGCAGTGACATAACTGGAAACGAACACTCCTCACTACAGCTGGAAGACTATAATACAAGAAGGCAGAAGAAAGCATGAATTAAGTCTTCATGACGATGTATGTTTATGAGATTTTAAGTGTCCTAAAAGGCAACCAAGTAGCTTCACTTATTTAAGTATGGAAAGGTATCTCTACTTAATTTACATCAAGGCTCCTGGGATTCAAAGAAATACGTTTCCCCCTTCTGTGTAACTACACGGTCTCCGTGCAAGATACGGTATGCAAAGGGGGCTGGTGCATGGGCGGAGGAGCAGCGATGGCAGCGTAACGTATAGGCAATGCAATGAATCAGATGACTAAGAAATAACAGAAGGATGTCAGTGGCGTATTACAGAAGGCACACCTGTCTTTCACGGGAAACACGGGCAAAGGGGAAGACATTCAGGGGCAGCAGCACGGGGCGGACGAAGTCTGTGCTGGGGGTCCCTGGGGAGCGAGAACACTCTGACCCACAGGGAGCGGCACCACGGAGCGGGCGGGCCGGGTGCTGCCGACAGACCGCCTGCGGGGCACGCAGTCATCTGTGCCA